CCGCGCGGCCTCCCTGCCGCCACCGCCGCCGCTGCCGCGCCTGCCGCGCCGTCCAGTCCGCCGCGAAGCCCCGAACCGGGGCGCTATGGCCCCAGTCCGGCCAGTCGCGGGGAGCGCCAGGCGCCCGACGAGTCGCGCATCCGGCGACCAATGAACGCCTTCATGGTGTGGGCAAAGGACGAGCGCAAGAGGTTGGCGCAGCAGAATCCGGACCTGCATAACGCGGTTCTCAGCAAGATGCTGGGTGAGCGGTGGGGGCGGGACACGGGAGTCACACAGGGGTATGGGGGACCTCGGGTGGGGACCCTCCCTTCCGCGGGACCGGACGGGCGGGGCTGGGGCTGCTGAGCACCCCAGAGCGCACGCACTGCCATGCCGCCCCGCACGCCCACAGCCCACTGACCAGAACCCGGCCCGCAGGCAAAACATGGAAGGAGCTCAGCGCGGCGGAGAAGCGACCCTTCGTGGAGGAGGCCGAGAGGCTGCGCGTGCAGCACCTGCGAGACCACCCCAACTACAAGTACCGTCCGCGCCGCAAGAAGCAGGCGCGCAAGGGTCGGCGGCTGGAGCCTGGCCTCCTGCTCCCTGGCCTGGCCCAGCCGCCCGAGCCCTTCCCCGCAGCATCCGGTCCGGCCCGCGCCTTCCGAGAGCTGCCCCCGCTGGGCGCCGAGCTCGACGGCCTGGGGCTACCCACGCCCGAGCGCTCGCCGCTGGACGGCCTGGAGACCAGCGAGGCTGCCTTCTTCCCACCGCCGCCCGAGGACTGCGCGCTGCGGCCCTTCCGCGCGCCCTACGTTCCAGCCGAGCTGCCCCGGGACTTGGGCGGCTGCTATGGGGCGCCTCTGACTGAGGCGCTGCGGACCGCGCCGCCTCCCGCTGGCCTCTATTATGGCGCGCTGGGCGCACCCTGCCCGGCCCCGTATCCTGGGCCGCTGTCCCCACCGCCTGAGGCCCCGCCGCTGGAGGGCGCCGCCGAGCCACTAGGGTCCGGCGCCGAGCTGTGGGCCGACGTGGACCTCACCGAGTTCGACCAGTACCTCAACTGCAGCCGGACTCGACCTGACGCCGCCGTACTCCCATACCACGTGGCGCTGGCCAAGCTGGGCCCGCGCGCCATGTCCTGCCCCGAGGAGAGCAGTCTGATCTCAGCTCTGTCCGACGCCAGCAGCGCTGTTTACTACAGCGCCTGCATCTCGGGCTAGGCCATCGCCCGGGGCCTTGTCTGTTGTCTGCGCCATGCTTAGCCCGCCGCTAACGCCACGACGTCCGCATAGCCGTTTTCTCTTTAGCGCGGGTGTACGTCGCAGCTCCACGTACCACGCCCACTGGAACGCATGAGTCGCCAGAACCCACTGGCAGCCTTGTGCCCATTTTGCCTCCCCTGGCTCCTTTTCTGGGCTACTTGGCCATCGCCCTTGAGGCTTCCGCAAGGGGGTCTGGGACTCCTCCAGGGTTTTTTCCTGGAAGCCCATGCCTAGGACATACTGGTCCATCCTCCAGGAATATGTTGTTGAAGTGCCTAATTCTTTTCCTGCCGTGCATTTTCTAGAAGCAGACTGCGTTCTTTATTACTTTGTCTTTTTTATATGCATAATACAATATATTTAATTTTTAGTTAAACTTTTACCCGTTTTCCCCCCAAGGGGTTTATCATGACCAGAAATATCAATGTAGCAAGGGCTCTAACATGAGGGTTAACAATGTCTGTTCTACAAAGAAGGATGCGGGAGCTGGGGTCCCCTGGCAGCTCCCTCCCTTAGGGTCCCTTTGGCCAGGCGAGGCCACAATAAAGTGCCTCCGCCTTCCCTCCGCACTGTGTCTGGTGGTTGTTGACAGGGATGGCAATGATATCCCAGGGGCTTTAAACATGCCCTTCCTTTCAGACCTCCCCGGCAGAGCCTGACACCCCAGCTTGGCCCCCTCATTGCCTTTTCTCTATCTATGAGCACACCACACACAAAATGGGGAGGGTTGTCTCAAGGTGGCACATTCCCTATTCTCTCAGTCCTCTGTTCCTCTCTGGGCCCACCCTCTAAGTCTTATGGGGGTTGAGGTCCCCTCACAATCATCCCATCTCCTTCAAAGTCCCTCTAAACTCAGAAGCTGCCCAGGCCAGCACCTACATCAGATAAAGCATCCAGGGCCCCAATCTGTCCTTCCTCCTCACCTCAGTATCCCTGGACAGTCTAATGTCCTGGGGCTATGCTGTGCCACGCCCCTGTTGCTGGGGTGTCACTGTGGGGCTCTGGTTACACAGGTCCATGACCAGGCCTGAGCCCTCCTTAGTTAGTTACCCTGCTCATTAACCTAACTCCTGGCTCCTTTCTTGCTGTCCTCAATGGGGGCACTGTATGCTGGAAGTGGGGCTACAGCACCTCTAGAAGTGAGTCCCCTGCCCATTCACATAGTCGTCCTGGTCTCCCCTGCCCCAGGCCAACAACACACCCAGGGGCATGTCCAGCTGGTCCTTGACAATCCCAACGCAGATGTCATGTAAGACTGTGAAGCCTTGATACTGGCTGGCTGTGGGCTTGTGTGTAAAAGACCAACTCTTTGTGCATATGTGTGGCATTGATGAGACTGAGTGTACATGCCTGTGTGCGTGTAACTGTGTGTATGCGTGACTATGTGTAGTGGATGTGTGCACCCCACTGGGGCATGCCTGAGCAGCCCCCCAGGCAGAACCCCACTGCCTCCCTGAGTGTCTGAGAGGGGAGTCAGGCCAGGAAGAGATGCAGGGGGCGAGGCTCTGAGAGGACGCTCTGGTATTCCCACTCAGCACTGGCCTCACTCCCCCTGCTAAGTTCAGACCCCTAGAGGGACCACCACCACACTAAGCCCTGCCAACTCTACCCATCAGGGAATTAGGGGATGGAAGTAAGCACAGACATTCTCTGGTCCCCCCCTCCCCACCACAACAGTCATCCCCGAGGCCACCGTTAGGGACAGCAATGACACAAAGAGACACATGAGGACTGATGTCCACCTCCTTCACTGAGGTGGATGGGGGTGTGCAAACCGGACTCACTCCATGACAGGGTGAGGACTACCTTTTCCTCCAGCTCGCTCTGCCTCAATTTACCAAAACTAGAACACCCAATCCCAGCTCTATGTCCCAGAATCAGCATGGGATTTTAAATGCACATTCAATGGGTTTCATGTGTTTCTAGTTGTATAACAACCACCATGATATGATTTTAGAGCTGTGCCTTTGGCCCATTAGCTGTCACCCCATCCCTGTCCCCTTGTCAGCCTCTGGCATTACTAATCCGCTCTCTGTTTCTATGGATTTGCCTGTTCTGGACATTTCATATTAATGGAATCTTGCACTACGTGTTCCATTGTGACTAATTTCACTCTGCATAAAGTTTTCTAGCTTCACATGGTAATCTGAATCCGAGCTTCATTCCTTTTTATGGCTGGGTAATATGTCACTGTATGCATGGACCACATGTGTGATACACACTTGGGTTGTGTCCACCTTTTTGACTCTTGTGCTGTGAGCACTGTGCAAGGTTTTCTGTGGATGTGTGCTTTCATGAAAATCCACATTCAGTTGCATCTTTGCTGATGAAGTCTGACCAGGTAGGTCCCTAGTTTGAACCCACATTCTAGGGCACTCCCCCAAAAGGGAAGTGCATAGCAGCTGACCTCCAACCCAAAACCAACCCTCCAAGGTCAGGGATCTAACTGAATCCAAACCACTCCTTGTCCTTGTCCCCAGTTCAGAAATGGTTTAGGCCAAGTGTGGGGCAGAGGCGGGAAGTTCTGGGGGATGTGTAGGGTGTGTAGCAGAGATGGGGGTGCTAAGTTTCTCCTTCTCTGTGTCACAGCCCCGTTCCCCGGGGTTTTCTCAACTCAAACCCTGGAATCCCAGGGAATTACCTAGCCCAGGTGGAGGTAGAGGAGGCATGGGCGGAGCAAAGAGAGAGAGCCCCAGCTGCCCTAGTCCCAGCCATCCCCAACCCTCGAGCTCCGCCCCACCCCCATCTCCCACGCTCCTCCCGCTCCGCGCGAAAAAACAGGAAGGGGCGCGCGGCGGCGGCGGCGGCGGCTCAGGAAGCGCAGGAAGCGACCGGCGGGCGCGGCGCTTATCTCGGCGCGCAGCCTAGAGCCCTGGCTCAACGCCCCGCACCGCCGACGGACAGGGGGCGCTGAGGACGCCCCGGTACCGGCTCACCGGGCCAGAAGCTTTTACCCTGTTACAGCCCCGACAGAGGCTAATCTTGGCAGATACCCGCAAGCCACAAATGTGTCAGCTGGACCGTAGCAGGACTGGGCAGAACTTCACCAAGCTAAGCGTCCGGAGACACCCCATCCCTCCTACCGCTGCCCCACAGACGTGAGACGTCCCCTCAAGACCAGCAGGATGGGGGTGTGTGATAGGTTGGCCTGACACACACACACACACACACACACACACACACACAGCGCCGCCCCGACAAGGTCCTGACCTCCCCATTTCCAGCCAAACAAGGACTCACTTCCTCGCAGGTGCGACCTCCCTTCTGGCTCTTCCGGGTTTCAGTGAGGAGGGGGCTGAGGGCTGTTTGTTTATATATTTACAGAGTTTGATCTTTTCCTGGGGAGTGGGCAGGATGGGGTTGTCCCTGGACCTCCCTCCAAGGGTCCTGAAGGCCGTGGCAGGACAATGGACTCCAGCACCTGGAATTCCCTGCCCCCCGGCCCCCAAGAGGGGCTTGTTTGTTTCAGCGTCAGCCACACCTGCAGGCTTGAGAGATTCGGCCCAGGTGTTTCCTCCTTGTCCCAGCACCCTTGCTCTGTCCATGGTCTTTCCCGAAGTCCAGCCCTGGCTTGCTCATGGAGGATCCAGTTTAGGGGGATGGAGTGGCAGCTGGAGCCTTGAGAAGACCCCAGGGCAGAGCAAGGCAAGGCAGTGCATCAGCAGCAGCCTGGTGGGAGGCAGTGCCACCGGGTGGCTGGGAACCAGCTGAGGTAGGAGGCAGGGTGGGGAACACACAAGTGGCACGTCGGGATTAACTTTTTGGCTCGGTTTTGAGCATGCAGAGAACAGCTTGCCAGGCATCCCAGTTCCAGATGTTCTTTCAAAGGCTCCCTGTCTGGGGAGGCCTCGAGCCCAACTCGCCCTTCAAAGCCTGCTCTCCCCTCCTCCCCTCACTCTTGTGGGGGGCCAGCTCCCTCTAGCATCCGAGCTTCCCACATGTGGGGGACTCCCTCTGTGCACCCACCCCACCCTCAAGAAGACAAGGTATCACAGAGGAAGAACCAAAGAGGTCATGCCACTTGCCCAGCCAGTTAGACCCCCAAATGTTTGTCCCTGTCCTTGTGGAGTGCAAGAAGCAGATGTACTATCTGACACCAAGTGAGGCCAGGAGGGGCTTGTCTAGAGAGACTCTGAGGGTACAGGTGTGGGGGTGGGGAGATAGGCTGGGCCAGGTCGTCAGACCCTGGAGTGCACACAGACCCCTGAACACAGATCCTTGTGCATGCCAGTACCACCTGAGCTGTGCACAGTCACTCACAGTCCTATGGAGAACATGGAGAACATCACAACTTGCCCATACAGACTTACACACACTTACAGACTTATACACACTTGCAAGTGAATTCTGGCAGGACCCCAAGTGGGGAAGAACAGTGGGGTCTGAATACAGGGATACTGACCCTACAAGCAGAAGAGGGGCCACCACAGACCTGGGGTCCAGAGTAATGTGTCCCCAGCATCCATTCTGTGGCTTCCGCTCCTCCTTCTGCCCCCTCCCCAGGAGGTGGTGGTTCCAGTGAGATACCCCCAGGCACAGTCTCTGACTACTGAGCCGCCAAGGAACAGTCCAGCAAGTCAGCCTCGGGTGCCACCCAGGAGGCTCTGGGGCTGGATCCTCCTCTTCCTGCCCCCTACTTTAGACTCCAAGCTAACTGGGTCTCTACTCATGCCCTGGTCATTGCCAAAAAGCTGTCCCTTCCCCCACAGGACACCCAGGTCCTCAGGTCAGCCCCACCCTCTCCTGTCTTTGGCTCACACCATCTCCTGTCTTAGACACCATCTCAACCATGACAGGCCCCAGTATCCATTGTCACCTAGGACAGCAGGCTGTAGATCCCCCCACTCTCTGCCCGATGGCGCATTACCAGGCATCCTGGGCAGACTTTCCCCATCACAACCTGCCAAGTAGAGCTGGAGCAGGTGGGACCTCAGTGAGCTCCAGCTGGAGCAGGTGGGACCTCGGTCGGTACCTTACCCCTACACTATACTTCCTAGCTGTGTGACTTGGGGTGAGTGTGGTAACCTCCCAAGTGCCTCAGCTGCACTGCTGTGTGGAGCCTATGGAATGTCACTTCTGTGAAGTAAACTCAGTCAAACCTGTCTTCTGTGATTATTTCTCGCTGGTGATGTCAGAGCATGAACAAGAATTTCCCACTTTCTAGCTGCTCCTTGTTCAGCCAGTACCAGGAGAGGCAACGCCTGCCTTGGACAAAGACACAGTTTTCTGCAGGCTAAGGATTTACTCTCAGAAACTCTGAATAGTAATTTCTACTCTGCCCTTTAAAGCCACTATGAGTTGGAACCAACTGGATGGAAATGGATTTGGTTTTTTATTTGATCCTTCTATTAAGATGGGGAAGGATAGAATGACGTCACGGAGGGGCAAGACTATGCCAACCGTGCACTGTTTCCCTTGCTACCTCCTCCTTAATCTATTGTGCAGATCCAAGGACCCCTACTTAGCTACAGGCTCTGTGTGTAGGGGGTGGGGTGGGGCAGGCACACAGGTGTCAGTCCTGGGGCAGGAGATGGGAGTCCCAGGGGTCCTGGCCAGAACCAGGGAGGGGCTGGATATCGTTGGGCTCCGGGGCCAGCCGTAGGAAATGACCTAGCGGCACTTGGCAGCCAGGCCCAGCAGCTCGAGCTTCCCTTCGGCTCGTTTCCTTTATCCGGTTGTTTTGTTCCGAATTCACCCAAGCTGTCTTCCCCTCCCCCACCAGAGCGGAAGGGGTACCAGGCGATTTAGGACCCCTCCCCCCAGTGGAGACGCAGCGTTCCCACTCCTGATGTCTCACGTCTCCCCCCACTCCCACTGCACAGGTGTAGGGATGCTGGTCAGCCCAGTCCCCCATTCTAGTCTGTCCTCTCCCTCCTTATGAGGGTGCAAGCCCCTGACGGCCTCGAGCCCACAGCCAACAAAGGAAAGTTTGCAGCACCAACTCTGTTTATTAAGGTCTCGGCACCCTCTAACCCGCCATACTCCGGCGCCCCCGGAGAGCAGGGACTCGATGAGGCGTGCTAGGAACTCTTGTCACCGCATGGGGCTCATTCCAACCTTCTTGGGTCCCACTCTTTCTCATTCTTCTCCAGTAGCGGACGCCCTACGGGTGATGATTGTAGACACCGTGTATGAGGCGGAGCCTTCACTGAGAGGCGGGACCAAGTCCCGGACTGTGCCTTGGGGTCGGAACTTGGGGGGGGGGGGTGCACTAAAAGCCCCCAGCGGCTGCGGTGTGCAGTGCGAACAGCTTCTCCCAGCAGGTGGCGACGGCGTCTAGGGCGTGCATCAAGAGCCGCCTCCGGTTGCCGCGGAAGCGGCGGCGGCGCACAGACTCAGGTGGTCCTTGGCTCAGCTGTCAGGGATGGGGCGGTCAGCATGCTCGGTCCTCACCCTCCCGTGCCCAGCTCCAGGGAAGGGAATCGCGCCCAGGAGGTAGGGAAAGGTCGCAGAGGTAGAGGGAGCATGGCATGGGGCCGGCCCATACACAGGGACGCGCACCTGGCGCGGCGCCCAACAGTGGCGCCGCATCACTGCCTCGGTGCGCACCGCCACGGTCCACGCGGCTTTCTCCAGGGTCCCACGGCGGCCCTCGGACAACGCCCTGCGCAAGGTCCGACCCAAGGACGTGATGGACAGGAGGATACTGTGCTCCTGGGGGAGAGAGGCGGGGAAACCTTGTGGGCAGGTTACTATCTTGAGGGTCTTAAAAGGCAGCAGGGGTGGGGGGGCCTTGTACCTCCTGGGCTGCACAGGTAGCGACCGCCCGTTCCCGCCGTCGGCTGTTGTGAATGAAATGCACGTGTCTGGCGTTCTTAGAGGCCACCTCAGCCCCAGGCCTGACCCGCCTCACTGCCGCCTGTAGGTCCTCGAAGATGACCGCGCGGTAGTGGCGAAGCACGTCAGGGACGCTACACATACGGAGCCCTGCCTGGCTTGGCGCGGCCCCCAACAGTGCCAGCAGGAGCGCGCAGAGCGCGGGCAGGGGGCGCACCTGGTCAGGGAGGCACGGAACCTCTTGAGTTGGGGAGGTACCCACTGGTGCCCTGCCCAACCACAGGTAAGAGGCCCACACTGCTGAGGCCTTGGCCAGCAGGTCTCCGTGACAAAGCGAGGTGCCGCTCCACTCACAAAACATTGGAGACAGGAAAACCTGTGCCTAATTCAGGAAGGAAAGGGGCCCATGGACAAGATAGACCCTCAGTTGAAGGATGCAGAGTCGCAGGGCAGGTTGGGGGAAGGTAAAGCCCACCCAACCCAGGAGATAAGTCTAGCAGGGCGGCTTCTCAGGGCGCCTCAGCTGGAGTCCCAGCCAGTACCAGGGTCCAGTTAGCTGTCCTTCATCAATTCAGGACACTACCCGGCCCCTCCCCTCCACACACACACCAGGGTAGGGCTCACCTCTCACTGCACCCCACCCACGCGACACAGAAGCCTGGAGACCACTGAGGACTCTTTTCTGGGTCTGCTCACCTCCCCTCAGTGCCCCAACAGCCCCACCCCACCTATTACAACGCACCTCCCACCCACGAACCCAAGGGACAGGGAAGGGGACTCTGAGCCCCAGATCACATCCCATGTGAAGGGGAAGGTTTGGGGAACTCCCGGGGTGATAGGGGAGGGATACCCCCCAAAGACAGAAAAGATGAAACACTACAAACCCACCCACCCTGCAAGCCCAGGCAGTCTGGAAATCAATCTTGTGAATCCAGTCGGAAGGAGTCAACTCCTGCTTCTCACCCTGTGAAGCCTGGAGCCTGCTGTCCCCCGGGGGAGGGGGTGGGCTGACAAGGGGTCCCAGGAAAGAACGCAAGTTGGAAGGACAAGGGAAGCCACTGGGCCCTGAAGCAGCAAACTGGTCTCCCTCTGCATTCCCAGGGAGGCAGGGTTGTAGGGGGGGTGTCAGTGGGCTCCCTGCACAGGCTCCCCGGTGCTGGGAACCAACTGGGAATTTCCCGCAGGGGGTGGCAGGCATCTACAGACTGCCCATTGCATTCCCAGTCACTGGCGCCCCGAAACCCACTCCCCAGAGCTGCTCACCATGGGCCAGTCAGGGGCAGGGTCCTCCGTCTGCGCACATGATCTGGATCCTGGGCTGGAGAGGGCCAATGGTCGGCGGCGGCGGGCGGCCGAGGCTTTTGAAGTTGTCTCTTCAGAAGAGAAGAGGGGAGGAGAGGGGAGCAGGGGAGGGAGGGGGAGGAGAGGGAAGGAGGGGGGAAGATGGGGAAAGAGGCCACGACTCCCAGGCTGCCCGCCCCCTCCTTCCTATCCAATCTTCAATTAACCTGAGCCTGGAGGCTGGCAGCTGTCTGGGGCTCACTGCGTCCCAGTGGATCTGGGCCCCAGGGCTGCTTGCTCTGGTAGGGATGTGGATAGGTGGCCCTGGGGGCCTCTCTCTGCTCCCTCCCACCAAGGGCTGCTCACAGGCTGTAAGTTCCTAACCTGTCCCCTCAGAAGGACAGAGTGCTGTGGGCGGGACATGGCTCCACCCCTGCCCCATTAGCGTGGGTCCTGCCCTAGCAGCTCCCGGCGGGACTTCCCGAGAGGGCTCCTCTCCTGGGTTCCCAGGCCTCCTGGGCCCTCTTTTGAGGGCAGCTCTCTAGAGATCTCCTATGCCAGGGAGGGACGTGTAATGTGTCTCTTAAAGCAAGCAATGGTGGGGAGGCAGCTGGAGTCTGTGGGTAGGGTCATGGCAGGGGCAGAAAGCAGCGACGACCTCAGAGAAACCCCTGAAGCATAGCTGCCTTCACCTTGGGGTGACCTTGTATAGGACGATGAGAGGCACTGAGGGTTCCATCTGAGGCCGGGAGAGGATATTTTCCTGCAGATCAGAAGCCTTAAGATGGACAATTTACAGCTCCGGATTCCACCGGCCTGACTGGAGCTTCCCAACCCATTCCAGAGCCTGTCTCTGGGCACAGAGACATGGGCATACTCGCCTTAGCTGAGTCTCAGGCCCTTTTTGGGCCTGTTTTCTTGGCTGTGAAGCCCACAGTAACCGCTTCCAAACTTTAGGAGCTGCGGGGTCACTAGCAGTCCTCTTGACATCTCACAGCCCAGCACCCAGTGAAGATGGAGCCGGCCCCCCAGGTGCACACCACCACACAGGGGCTCGGTGTAGACAGTGATGAGCACAGGCTTGTCGGGGACTGAGCCCTTGAGGGGCTGCCCTTAACACCACTCACCCTGTTCCAGAACTGTCACTTAGATCTCACTCCAAAGTCCTGATGCCTGAAGATGTCCCCACCCTCACCCATCCTGGCTGGTAAACCACAGTTTCAAATCTAGAGACCAGGGCAATTGCAATGTCTTCAAGACAAAGCTACAGATGTATAAACAAATAAACTAGCATTCCTGGTTCCATCTTTGTTGGTGACATGGCTCAAGGGGCTTCACTTGGACAAAGGGTTCCCTGGCAGAGGCAGACTCTACTGCTGGTGCCCGGACTCCTTCGCTCCAGGCTCTGCTGCACTGGGGGCACATCCAGTTCCATTTTCTCCCAGCACAAGCCCATGCCCCCTCTCTACAGCAGAACCTTGCAGGCCCTCCACAAGGGGCATGGTCACTGAGCAGGAATCCTCCTCCTCTTCCTCCCACTGGAGACCTACATAGCCACCACCTTGCTTCCTTCCTCGGCAGAAACCTCTTTAAAGCCCACTCCGCTCCCAACAGTAGTGATGCTACAGGACCGTGGAAGAACTGTCGGTCACCCTGACTCATCATATGAGAAACATTTAATATCATGAACAGACCCCTCTTCCCCCCCGGTGCTGCCCTTGAGCCACATGAGCCCGGCCAGTGGCTGTGGCCCCGAGGTGGTGTCCCCTTGCCCTGGCCCCAGATGGCTGTCCCCTTGGGGCTGTCTGGTCTCTAGAAGGTGTTCTTGATGCGAGCAGCCACCAGCACCAGCATCTCTCCAATCTTCTTCTGCCAGTTGGCAATGTCCTTGGACACAGCACACCACAGCTCCCCATGCCGCGGTTCCGCGTTCTCGCAGCGCTTCCTCACGTCCTCCTGCTGCTCCTGGGGGCACACAGCCTGTTCAGCAGGGTGTCCCTCTACCCACCGAAGACTGGAGAAAGGCTTGAGGCAAAGCTGTCTCTTAGATGGACACCCCTCCCCTGCGCAGAGCAAGGATCCCCCCACCCCAGTTCTGGGGACCCTTCTAGCAGAACATGTGGCCCACCCTTGATGGACCACTGGGAATACAGGTCATGGACCACTGGGAATACAGGTCCTGAGTCTGCACCTCAGAAGGACCCCAGGTGACACCTAGAGAGGGAGTGTCCAGGAGCTGCTGGTGACAGACAATATGAGGGGAAAGGAACCAAGAAGGTGACATGATCCAAAATGGATTGACAAGCTGGCACTGGGGTTCCACACCCCAAACTCAACTGTCACCTCCAGGCCTGTAACCCTGAGCTGTCTCCTATCACTCACTGCATGACTGAGAATGGACGGCTGTCCCCACCCTGCCACTATGGAAGAGTCTGGAAGCAACCAGGAGCAGAGAAGCGTCTAACCTCCGTGCCGTGCTGAAGCTCAAACTTGTAGAAGAAGGCCCAGGCATCCCCCAGGTCCGAGTCGATCTTCACAGTGCGGTGGAACCACTCCCTGGCTTTGGTTATCTTCCGCTCACTCCAAAAGAGCCTGTTCCAGAAGGCAGGCCACAGTGAGCACCTGCTGCCTGCACAGTAGCTCACAGCCACCGAGTCAAGCTCGCAGATCCCAAACTCCCAGATGAGGGTACAGCCTTCCCCACTAGTCATGGGGACTGTACTACCAACACCGCCAGGCAGCTGACCTGAGGGGCACTCTAAGAGCGTCTTAAAACAAAAATCCACAGAGTCAGATCTCTACACTCCTTTAAAGTAGTCTGTTAAAGTGAGGCTTTGATGACAGGAAGTTAAGTGGCACCCTGACACAACCTCTCTGGGTCACGTTGGTTAGCTCTGGCAAGAGCCCCTCCTGACTGAGCATGTCCAGCCTCCCATCAGCAGCGGAACCTGTCGAGAGCTGGACCAGGGCAGAGGGGCCAGACCTGCCAAAGCCTCAGACACAAGGGCCAGCCTGGGACAACACCGACCCTGGACGAGCATTTCGGCCTGGTGGACTCCAACTTAGGATCCCTGTTGAGTCTTACCCTCAACGACAGCTGGCCAGTGTGGTGGGTGTTCCCACAGGCCTGTGGGTCAGTCTGGGCTGCCATGCCCGCTGTGCCTGGGGCCCCGAGGCTCCCACTGATTGCCTGATGGATTTTTAAGCCTGTGGCGCTCTTAATTGCTCAGCATTAGATAAACTGTGATTGGAAGGCCACAACCCTGAGAGCAGACTCAGAACGTGGACCCGGGTGTAGCTGGGAGGGTTGTTTGCTTTAGCAAAGCCTTTTATGAGGTTTTATGGTTGCCCTATCAGAGCGTTAGACATAAGCGACCTTCTGCAAGGCAGAAGAGAAAGGGCAGGCATAAGCCAGGCCACCTCAGGGGAGCCTCCCGGCCCATGCTTGCCCTCCACCCCTATGGCCAAGGTGGCCCAGGGCAGCCTCACCATGACACCCGGGAAACCACTGCCCCAGTCCACAGCAGAGGGGCAGAAATTCAACTGCCTCTTCATATCACCATCCGGGCGACGAGTAGGTGGAGGCCAGGCTCCTGGGGCCAAAGCTACATCCACCTAGCACGTCCCAGGCTGATTTGCATAGCTAGGCCTTGGCCCCGGGCAGCCCTTCTCGCTGATTGTCCTGCAGTACTGTGGCCACTGTCCCCTTATCTTTCACTCAGGCCTGTCTCCCCCAGGCTGCCCTCTTTCCAGTAGATCTGTCTGTCTGTCCAGGTTCTCCCCACTGGACACAGTGTCAGCGCACCCTAAGCCCCAGCTCCTCCCTGCTAGGGACAGCATCGAGGCAATGCATTCCAGTGACTTTGAGCAACACTACCGTCCCTCCAAGGTCCACTGAGGGAGCCCTCCTGACAGGACCGTGGTTCACCTGGGTCTGCACGCACCCCAGGGCCCAGCTGCATGTAGCTTGATCCCTCAGGCAGTAACGGGATAGTATTAGGCTGCCTGCACAAGGACAGCACAGAGCACAGCCCCCTTCTGTGAGGGGCTAGCAGTCACTGCCTGTGAGGACCCCTGGGACCGCAGGAGTCAGACAAGCCCTGAGGACGTGGACAATAAGCATGTCTCCGCCCACCCGAGTGGGAGCACTCACTTGGCCACCGCCAGGAGCACATGCGGGTCGTGCTCACACTTCTTCAGGGCATCCACACTCTTGGTCTTCCTCTGGGGTCTGGCCTCAAGGAAAATGGCTTCAGACCACAGGATGCCTACGAGTCAGAGGGAGGCACGGAGTTGAGGGAGCACCTGCAGCAAGCCCATCTGCCTGAGAAGGAGTGCACAGACGGCCTGGGGCCTGTCCACCACCCAATGATCTCCTGACTGAGGCTTCATCATAAGAGATCACCAGAAACGCTAAGGGCCTCCACATGCAGACCCTAATCTTGGAAAGAAGAAAAAAAAACTTGCTTCCAAAAAGCCAACCGCCCCTGACTTGGTTACGACTCACAGCTCACCTGTATTGGGTTTCTGAGGCAGCCAATCTTTACGGGAGCAGAAAGCCTCATCTTTCTCCCACTTAGCAGTTGGTAGAGTCCAACTACTGACCTTGCGGTTAGCAGCCCAGCCTGTAACCCGCTACCCAGCCAGGGCTCCTTAACCCTATTAACAACAGATGTAAAAAGCGCAAGCTACAGACGAACAGGTGAGGGGTATGATTTGGGAAAATCCACAAAAGAGAATTCTATGGTCATTAAGCTGTACATCTTGGAAACTGTCTCACAAAAGGTTCTGTTTATGAACCCCCTGAGTCTGAGTCCATCTTTTGCAGTGACACAAGCTGTGAGGACACAGGTTAGGTAGGGAGTTCTGGTGGCTCTCATTCCCTTCGTCTGACTCCCACCCAACCCATGCTTGACTTGCCTGCCTTACAGACCTGGGGTGGGGCAGCAGAACTTCAATGGTAAAAGGAAGAAATTGGCAGACTCTGGATCCCATCTCCTCCATTCTGAGACAGAGTCTAGACCTGACATCTCAATGGTCAAACAGAGATGAACTCTTGGCTGAACTGACTCGTACAAAGAAAGTGTTTGAATAAAGTCTGTTTGAGCCACAAGGCCTACTCCTCCGGACAGCTCATAGCCCCGTGGCCTGGCCCTCGCCCTGTGGTGACCCTTACCTGAGTTGGGACACTCCTGCAGTGCCTTTGCCATAAGCGTGTTAGCGATGTTCTTCAGCCCTGCCCGGTACTCCAGCCGTACGGATTCCAACCTAAGCAGAAAGACCCAACAGCACGATCTCCCGTGGGCCTGGCAGATGCTGTGGCAGCTTCTGGAAAGCTCCAGCCACTGGAGCCATCCACCCAAGTAGTAGCAAGTTCCCACTGCGGTTCAGAATTCAGCATCCACTGGACAGTGTCTCCCTCTCACCCCAGCCATCAAGTGCTCGGGATGCGCTCCCCTCTGTGCTCCTGCTTGGCCCACTCTCCACCCCAGCAGTCACTTGCCCTGGTGATTCACTCAGCCTGTCACCCATGCACCTGCCCCGTGGCATCCCTCAGGAGCACCATACTGTCAGCAGGCCCCGCCTGCCATCAGTCAAAGGACAGGACTGAGAAGCAGGCTAGCGGCCTCGACTCACCAGAGGCCAGGGTTCTTCGGGTTCTTCAGACGAGATTTCTCCAGGATGGCTCGTGCTCGGGTTAGCTGTCCCACCTTCTCTTCCAGCCGAGAAAGCAAAAGCCACAGGGGTGTGGAGTGGGGACACTTCTTTAACTGTGGTGTGAAAACAGACATGAGCAAGGAAGACCTAGGGTCTCACACAGGACCTGACACAGCAGTCACATGCCTCTGCACACAGGCCAGTCATGTGACACTGCGTGTGCATGCTCAGTAAGCACTGGACAAGAGCAAGGTCCCCAGTGGCCCCCACGGCCGGCCCCAGTATTCAGGCGCACCCCCTGGCTGTAAGCCTCCCGGGCCTTCTCAGTCAGTTCCTCCTGCTCCTCGATCTGCCCCTTCATCATCCAGAGCTTGGGGAAGTCCTCATAGTGCTTCAGAGCCTCTTCACACAGCTCCTGGGCGGCAGCAATGTTCCCCAGCACCCACTCCAGCTTCACAGACTTCATGAACACCTGGCAAGGGAGACACACCATCACAGAGTCACCATCACCGGCTGCCCTGTCCTTGTCAGACAAGCAGGCTCTGCTCACTCTCAGTGGCCCCTGGGGTCAGGCCCCCAGCTCACCCGGGCAGTGGGGGCACTGCTCCGCGCCTTGGCCAGCAGTCTCCGGGCACGCTCATATTCGTTATTCTCCGACTCCAGTTTCACAGCAGCCAGCCAGATCTCCTCACTGTTAGGGTTGGCCTGCAATGGGCACAGTGGCATGGAAGTGGGGACCAGAAGGAACTGAGCTGATGGGCTGCCTCCTCCTGACTAACATAACAGGTCTGGCCCTGAGCACGTCTCTATCACACATCAAGGAAGAGGCTCCCAGACTTGCCTGCGTGTTGTGACAGTGAACAGGGGTGCACGCAAGGTCACACAGGGCCTCACGTAGCAAAGCTCAGGGTTGATGCCCAGCTGCAGCCTTCGGGTGGCAGCCCCTGGACTGTCGTCAAGCAGAACCAGTCAGCACCCTCAGGACTGCCCAGAGCAACAGCCCTCGGCTTCCAGTGCCGGGAACAGTGCTAGGAGGGCGCAGCAGCAATGGGCCGGCCCCCACTCTCAGGGCCCATGCAGGTGGAAGGACGGGATCTGAGCCAGGCTCACCACGCAGTGCTGTTTCCATAGCACCATGTTTTCATGAAGGCCCAGGTGTGAACTCAGCAATAAGAGCCGCAGGTCTCCTGGCCCCAGCTGCCTCTGTCAGGCTGGGATAGCGACCAAGTACAGAGCCCTGGTTCTCACCACTGACATGCACTCCAGGTTCAGGACACCAAGGGTTAAACCTCAAAGAACCACTTTACAAGGGGCATCAAACCTAACTTCCAACAAGACTCAGGACCACCTGTTCCCCAGGTGCAGATGAGGGCTGGAGAGGTCCAAGGTCTGCAGCTCACCCACCTGGAAGGCCAGAGCCAGGATGCTTCTTGCAGCAGGCACATCTCCTGCCAGCCACTTGGACTTGGCTCCCATGAGCCATAGCACCTCAGCCTTGGGGCAGTGGGCCACAGCCCGCTGCAAGAGCGTCTCCAGAGACTCCCTGCAAGAAGAGGACGCCGTCAGTGGGGCCATAAAGCATAGACGACCCCCGCTGCATGGGGCTGTAAAGACAGTTGCTGCTCCAAAGTCCAGCTCCATAAATGATTTATCAGGTTTTACGACGGGGAGACCATGGGGAAATCTCCTCTCTCCACAAATGCCCCGAAATCAACTAGCAGGCGGGCAGGCAGGCTCAACAAAGCAGCCATTGTTCCCACCCTGCAAGCTGATGGGAGCGTCTGGGTGGAGGGGCAGGTGGGCAGGCACAGGACGGCTGCTGGAGGTCCTCGTCCAAGCCTGCTTTCCTGGCCTCTGAGAGACGCTGTCTTGTGAGGAGGTGTTTCAGGTCACCTCTGAGCAGAGCACCAGAGCCCACATGGGTCATGTCATACTAACAGAAGGCTGTCCTGGGTCTCTGTGTCCACACTGGGTGAGCGAGTCTGTCCTGGGAGCATGTCGGAGACAGCCCATTCTGTCCCTGAGCTAACCCAAATGGAGCCCCTCCAGCCATCCTGTGAGGCTGAAGGCCTGAGGAAACAGGACCGTTATGGACACTAGAGGTGTGTGTGTGGGGGGGGGGAAGCTGCACTAGAAACCAGAGGTCAAGGTCAGCAGTGAGCACCCACGCCGCAAGGGGGTTGGTGTCATGAGGGACACACACCCACACAGTAAGGGCAGGTCTCTAAGCTGTGAGCACTCATCCTAGCAAGCAGCTGGTACCTGAGACGCCCCACTCCACAAGGAGTTAGTCCTGAAACAAACACCAAACCACCTGGTGGTACGGGAGGAAGGTGCTTCAGGGACACGTGGGAAGATTCCCTCAAAAGATTAGGATTAAACAACCCCAATAAAGAAAGAGCTGAGAGTTCAACGTTCCAGAGCCAGCCAGAGAGGGCGGGGGACTATGCAGTGTGTTGGCAGGCCAGTGTGCAGGGGGAGCCAGGCCCTGGGGAACGAGGCATTTAGAACAAGGAGTTGCAACACCTAATTTAATCAACATTTATAGCCAATAAGGCAGACCCAAAAGGTTTTTTCAATTAAGAAAATTGTCATGGACCTCCTCAGAGCACAAAAACTGGCCCCAAACTGAAGCCAGCTCTGCTGAAATGAGAACCATGCCTTCCGCCCCCACCCGTCCCTCTCCACCCGCCCAAGCCCACAGGCGCTTCTGTAGCATGTGGGGCTGTGGTGCTGACCTCAGGCAGTGACACCATCAGATGGGCTCCCAGGCCATTTTCCCAGCCATGGAGCAGGGACAGCCCACCATGGCAGCTGCACACACAAGCCCAGAGCCACACAAAGTCCCAGGGGCACAGGCAGCCGGGACCACGCACCTGGTGCCATGGTTCTTCTCAAAGTATGCAGCTCGCAGCCACACGCTCTTCTTGCTGGGGAACACCTGCAGGGCGTAGGCATAGATGGCGCGGGCGCACTCCAGGGCGCTGTGGGCCACACACTAGAAGGGGAGAGAGAGACATGAAGCAGCGGCCCTGTGCAGTCAGACCCATGAGACCTCGACAATGGCTAAGTACTTGACTTTGTGCTAGAAAACTGTGTGAGTGGACGACCTGATAAAGTCCCAGCCCGGGCGAGCTGGGGAGGCACAGGAGACACACAGGTGCCAGTATCTAGGTACCCAGGCCAGCATCACATGGGGGCTGCTAACTTCCAGGCCCCTGACTCAAACCCACTCACCATTCCTCAACAGAAAGATGAGGCAGTCTGCTCCCGTAAAGATTTAGTCTTGGAAACGCTATATAAGGGTCACGGTGAGTAAGAATTGACTAGAGGCAGTGGGTTTGGTTTTGCTTTTTATCACTTGTGTACTCCTTCAAAAAAAATCACCTGTGAGACCAAATGGCTAACAATGACACAGAAGGCGAAGGAGCAAGGAAGCTAGAACAGAAACGGAACCACCAAGACAGAAATAAAACAGAACATTCCTGCATTGTGACGAACACAAGCAACATCACAAAACAACTTGTGTGGTTGTTGTTAAGTGCCGTTGAGTCAATTATGACTCATAGTGACCCTGTATAGAGTTTCCAAAGAAAGGCTGGTAGGTTTGAACTACCAACCTTATGGTCAGCAACCCACACTAGAACTCCAACTTGTATAAAAACTGTTCACCAAGATCCTAAACTGCTGTGTAAACCTTTATCAAAAACACATTAAAAAACAAGACACACTCCAATGCAATGATTTACACCATCAAATACTGCACCAATGAAACACTGAAAAACTGCAAAGTGTAAGTCAGAATGGGGAGTCCAGCCTCCCAGACCTGGCTTTCATGCCACCACCAAGGGCTCCCCTAAACACGCTGCAGCTGTCCTCTCTGTGTTCGTGGTGACCGAGATGCCTGCCCCTCAGACCAACATTTGGAAGATGTGTTGTGATTCTGATGCCCACCAACACAGCCTTCAGTGGGCTGGCACAGCTAGGGGCACCTGCACCTTCCAGGGGGGAGATACTGACCACAGAAATCAGTGGCTTGGCAGCCTCACTCTGGGAGGGCAGATCATCATGAGGCACAGTGCCCTGGCTAAGACTGCCTGCAGGTGTGGTCAGGGAGAACCCACCAAGGTCCCAGCCAGGAAGATACACTTCTGTATCTGCAGAGAGCAAGGCCTGGAGGTTGGGTGCAAAGGCTCTTCGGACATCCCAGGACAGTGCACTCCACTCAAGCCCAGGGAGCACCTGGAACATACCATAACCCTGAGCAGAGAGAGGCCAGAGGCGACGGAGACACAGGAAGGTACAATAATGCCCTTCCCAGAGGGACTCCAGGACAGTCAAAGGTAAGAAGAAAAAGTGCGCCTTTCCATTCCGAGTTAGAAGCCACCAAGTGGCAGGTGCTGGGAGTCTCCAGCTTCTTTTGGAATTTCCTTCCAGTACAATGGCCCTGAGGCCCTTTCCTGAGCTGTTCTTTAACCTTTGAGGTTCTGAATACTGTGACAAAGGATGACGTCTCTGCTCTAGCCACACCATGACGTATAATGAAAACAGTGCCTCAGACATGAGCAATGAGCAACAAGTGACATGGAAGAGGTGCCCACAGTGAGGTTACCATCCTTAGGAAGGGTGTGTGTGTAGTGTGAGCACGTGTGGATCTGGTGTCTCATGCGTGCACAGATGTGTGTATATTGGTGTGCATGAGCATGTGTGTGTGTCTGCGTACTATGAGTTTGTAGAGAATGATGAAGCAAACATAAAATAAGTAACTTTGAGGAAACTGTGTGAAGGCCTATGAGCCTTCCTGCTACCCCTGTATAACTTTTCCAGAGCCAGGCCAGTGTTTAGCAGCCTCTAAAGGTGTGATATAAGGAGCTCTGGCAGCGCAGTGGTTACGAATCAGGCTGCGAACCTCATGGTCAGCAATTCGAAACTACCAGCTGTTCCATGGGAGAAAGATGAGGCTTACTGCTCCCATAAAGATTTACAGCCTCAGAAACCCTGTATGGGGTCGCAACCAACTCGACGGCACTTAACAACAAAGGTGTGATATTAACCTCATAATCCCACGTCTGTCATCCCCATCTACTGCTATCATGCAGAAGCTGGGGTATACTGTCTCCTCAAGTGGCATTTGTAACAGACAAGGGCGGTGGGTCACCTTGGGTCCCAGTCCTTCCTAGGGGACCCTGGTCACCTGTTGAGCCCTCTGCACTGCTGCTCGGAGACCATCACAGGTGAAGCAGCCTTGCTGAGTGAGAGCTAGGGTTTGTGGCTCAGGCCACGTCCTCTGCATACACTCCCCTCACTGCCCACCAGGAAACTGGCCATTCCTCCTGCTGTGACCACACAGTGGGCTGGAGTTGTCCCTCCACAGCTGTTCCCCTCTGGTGGGACTGACACTCACGCTGTCGGCATCCTCCATCCAGGTATGCTTCCGGTCCTCCTCCTCGATCCCAATGCCAATCACAGCCCTCATGACCGCCTGGCAGGTGGCCACACTGCCAGCCTTGTCACACTCCTCAGCATCCTGGGGGGACACAACACCAGTGACAGCCTGAATACTCACCCACTGTTGGGGGTGCAACAGCGCTATGGTTTTTAACTACATATAAAAGTCAATCAGACTTGTCTGTGTCCATCTGTCTCTACACTGATGTCTGTCCATGCCGCCAGCATCAGTGATGGGTCAATGTGGAATGAGTTAATGAAACTGCACTTTACCCATCACTTATGTGTCCCCTGACCCACTGTGTACAAAGCTCTGCTCTAAGACTATTCCCTGAGGCACGATCTTCAAAGTGGTAGCAAGAGCAGCCACCCTACAGCGAACAGGTGTGCAGACGCTGAAAGAAGGGAAGAAATCCTGAGGAGCGGACATGGAGGGTATGTTCCAGAAGACGGGAGGGGTGGAGTGAGGGGCAGGAGAAAACAATGGAGCACTCAGCAATGACACAGGACACAGGAGGGACAGAGGGACACAGGAGGGACA